TGAGAAATAATGAACTCTGTTGTGTCGATGTTGGACCTTGTTAGAATAAAAGTGATGAATCAAGCCACAGAAGGGGCTCAGGAAGATCAGTGCAGGGGGAATGGGAATGGGTGGTCTGCTTCAGTTATCATTGTGCCAATATTCTGATCAGAATATTTGCACAGAGATTAAGCAGTAACCTAAACATGAAACATGTTTTGTGTGGTGCCAGTGCCTTGGATTCATGTGCTTCCTTCTGCTAAGAAACGCCTTTCCAAACTCACATTCTTGGTTGAGGTGTTCTTCAGATCAATACTAATGACCTCTCTCTCCCTTGAAGACCACCCAATGGCTTGAAATCCTGCAGAGGCTGTGCTTGCACGAGAACATGGAAGTACAGCACCGAGGACTGGTCATCGCTTTCAACTTAATCAATGCTGACAAAGACCTAGCAAAGAAGCTGGTGGAGACGGAGCTCCTAGAGATCCTGACATACATCGGCAAGCAGGAAGACCCCAAGAAGCAGCACATCATTAACGTAGCACACGACTGCCTCACGAGGTGCATGGATTACGGGCTCATCAAACCCCTCTCTCAGGCATGAGGAAATGAAAAGCACCAAAGAGAATGTGGATAGGAAAAAAGCCACTGAGAAATGTGTAACAGTGAGAGCCATGAGGGAAATCTCATGCCATTGTTAAGGCATGGAATCATGTGGGGATGATTGTGGAAGATCAGAAACAATATGAGGAAAAGAGGGACTGGGAAAGTTGGGAAAGTGTCCATCTGAGTAACTGGTGTTAAACCCTTTCTGCCCCTTCGATGAAAGCTTCAAGGCCCAGCTGTAAACAGTCGGTTGTGTTGCAGATGCACTGTGGATTGCAGAAGGAAACTCAATTGAGCTGATATCTCTCCTGCAACCATCTACAGCTCGTGGTAGTTGTGGAATTCCTAGAAATGGTGGAACAGGAAGGGTTAAATGCCTTCTGTTCTGTAGTCAGAAAATGGGTTGGGTAATAGCTGTGTGCTTTGTTAAATTATGGTAGTTTTAGACAGCCTTAAGTGGTAGGTGAGCTCTTAATAAATTCACGTCTTTGTTCCATGTGCAATTCCTCTTCTGTTTTCATTAAGCAAATGGAGAGCTCCCACTTGCAGCCTTGTATTAGACCCAGGAGGTTGGAGAAATGGGTAGCACAGGCTGGATTCCCACCACTTGCAGCCTTACCCAGTGATGCTCAGATGAATGGGCCAAGTCACTGTGAGAGGCTGCAGGAGCTTAATGGCTTAAGCTGAGGTTCACACCAGGGAATGGTGTTTGGCTCAACAGGGAATGCTGAAAAGAGCTCATTGACGGAAGAAGCAGAACAAAGAGAGAACACACCAGTTGGTCATTACATTCAACTTTTCTATATAAATTTATATTGAAATCGTGTCCATATACAACTTGCAGCTGAAATAATGTCATGGCTTAACCTGCCTCATAAGTTTTCCCCATGAAAGTGATCCAGGCTGGGGATAACTCTGGAACATCCTCAGTGTCACCTCCCTCCTTGGAGCCAAATTCCAGCCAAGGCACTGAGACTAGAGCAGTAATGTGAGGACTGCTCGCAGCCCAGAAGCCAACCGTATCCTGGGCTGCATCAACAGGAGCGTGACCAGCAGGTCCAAGGAGGTGATCCTGCCCCTCTACTCTGCTCTTGTGAGACCTCACCTGGAGTACTGTGTGCAGTTCTGGTGTCCTCAACATAAAAAGGACATGGAACTGTTGGAACAAGTCCAGAGGAGGCCATGAGGATGATCAGGGACTGGAGCACCTCCCATATGAAGATAGGCTGAGAAAGTTGGGGCTGCTCAGCCTGGAGAAGGCTGCGTGGAGACCTCATAGCAGCCTTCCAGTATCTGAAGGGGGGCTATAGGGATGCTGGGGAGAGACTCTTCATTAGGAACTGTAGTGATAGGACAAGGGGTAATGGGTTAAAACTTAAACAGAAGTTTAGGTTGGCTATAAGGAGGAAATTATTTCCTGTTAGGGTGGTGAGGCACTGGAATGGGTTCCCAGGGAGGCTGTGAATGCTCCATCCCTGGCAGTGTTCAAGGCCAGGTTGGACAGAGCCTTGGGTGTCTTGGTTTAGTGTGAAGTGTCCCTGCCCATGGCAGGGGGGTTGGAGCTTGATGATCTTACAGTCCTTTCCAACCCTGACTGTTCTATGATTCTATGACTGAGAGCAGGGCCCTCCTTGCTTTGCGCTTTGTCTTCCTTTGCCTCTCTTCGTTCTGGTGCCCTGGGCTTTATTCCTTACATCTGGCCTTAAATACACATTTTATTCGAACTTGCACATTAAACCATGCTGGTTTTCCTTCCAAAGCACCTCAGTGATTGGAATATTTTTATTTATCTATTTTTATTTCTCCCTCATGGTTTATTACTTCCCTCCTCTCAACCGGTTCCGCGCTGCCCCTCTGTGGTGGAGCCGCCGCTACACAATATGCCACCGGGACAGCCAGGCTCTCGGGACTGGGCGGTGCTTGAGGCGGTGACGTATCACCGTCGCTTTGGCCCCGCAGCCGGCGCCACTGAAGAAACGGAGCACAACGTTAACGGGCAATGCAAACGCCGCTGCATCATCCCGCCCCTTCCCGTCCCCTCAGGCCTCCTCACAGGGCGGGAAACGCTCGCACCGCCCCGACCGCGGATAACGCGCCTTCCGATTGGTGCCCACCCGACCTCTCCGGCAGTGCCGCGCGCTGCCATTGGCTGTTGGGGACTGGGGGGGTGGCACAAAGGCGGGGACGCTTCGCCTCGGCGTGTCTGGGCCTGCGGGAGCGGCGTGAGGGGGACGCGGCGGCTGCGGGGTAGGCAACGAGGCGGGGGGATCGGAGTGCGGGCCGGAGAGGTGTGCAAGGGGCTGGGGAGGGGGGGAGAGCCGACTGAGGCGGGGGATCTGTGGCTGAACCGGCGTGGAGGTGAGCGGGACGGGGACGGGGGGGGGGCTGCAGGGGCCGACTGGGGAAGAGGCACTGGAGGGTGGTGGGTAGGGGTAGAGGAACAGGAGACTGAAGAGCTGCAAGGGTCTGAGGAGAGAGTGCAAGGAAGGAGGTGGGGAATGGGTGGTGTGAGGGTGGTTAGATCGAAATAGAGACCTGTGGACCCTCGCAGAGCTGCTGGGTTCGGCAGCGTTTGTAGGTACGGTGGGATTTTTCCTCTTGGTTTTGCCTGGTCCTAGCTGGCCTGACCATGGAATCCCAGCTCGTGACCTGTCTTCCCTAGCTCCAGGTCCATTCCATCAGCATGTCATCTTCCTCCCCTGCTAAATGTGCTTTCTCCCCTTATTACCTCTACCAGGAGGTCATGATAAGGAGAAAAACCACATCTTTAATTAATGGATGAGCTTAAGACTTTATCTGCTGCCTGCTTGCAGATCAGCTAGAGCTTTAATGAATGCTTATTTGGAGTTTCGTATGCGTTATGGGATGGCTTTGTGTATAAATGTGTCAGGAGGAAAGAGAGGAAGGATGCTGTTTTAGCTCATGGTGTTTGGGAAGGGGAAATAAAGGAGTTTTGCCAGTGTTACTCCACCAACACGGCTTTGTAATGTACAGGAGCTCTTCATGGAGAGACTACATCCATCCTGATGGTGCAGAGTACCACCTCCATCCTGCTGTGTCAAGGTAGAAATAGCAGCTTGGGGCTCAGTATCTTAAAACAGCCATGCCTGTCTCATCTCCCAAGGGTTGCTGTTAACTTACTGCAAACTCCATCCTGTAGAAAGCTGTGTGATCCTGAAAAGAATTAACCCAAACCCCAAGTTAATCTGTGTTTGGGTGCGGGGAGATGTGTGTGTGTGTGGTTTTCCTTCAGGGAAAACACCTTTTCTGTTCTAGTTTCCGAGTTGGGAGCAAGCTTCTTATGGAATGGAAATACAGTTGCCCGAAGCAATGATGAGCGAAGTATAGTCTGAACTGGTATTGCTGAGACTGTGTGTCTTTGCTCTGACCAGGGCATGATCATGTAATCTTCTCTCTGAGCTTATTTAGGCTGAGCTCATCTGGAGTAAATAACTTTGCTGCTTGAAACTTTTTGATGCACCCTAAAAAAACTGGGGGAAAAAAAAACCCCAACCAACCAACCCAAACCCTAAGAATCTTAACATGTAAAGTATTAAGAATTTGTAGCCATTTATTTTACTGGCAGAAAACAAAACCCTTGATTTGACAAGTGAGTAGTGCAAACACTTGTTTGGGTTTGTGCATCCTGCTGCAATGCTGGGTTTAGAACTGAGCTTGCAGCAAGGGAGGTTTCTTTTGTCTGTGTGCAGTATGGCACATGAAACTCCAGATGCTCTGCCACTGCATCTTCTCTGTTTGTAATTGCAGTGCATTTTACTCTGTAAAATGGAGTTTGTCCTGTAGGCACCTCATTAGCAGTTGGTTCAGCTGTACTCTCATCTAGTGATTGCTAGGAGGAATGTTTTTTGGAGAGAGTTGTGGTGTTGGGCCTGGCTCTGGTGCTCTGCTCTGGAGGAAGTGACAGGGGAAAGGCTGGGCTAATCAAGGAAGTACAGGAAGAGACCTGGAGCTATTCCCTAATCAAGTTTTTAATCTCTTCCAGGTCTTGATGATGGCTCTACATTCATTTCTCTTTTCCTGTCAAGAAGGAAGCTTCTACAGGGAGTATATACTGAGGAGTATAATTATGGTGGGTTTCTCATAACAGAAGCAATGTGATTTCTGTAAGGAAGTGAGGAAAGCAACTCAGTTGCTTATGCACTCATTTTCTAAGTGTCTGGATGAGTTGTGAATGTGGCTTAGCTTCATTAAATGTTTTTTAAAAGACTTCAGTCAAGTAACATATTGGGCAGCTCCAGTGCTGCTGTTAATGTTGATGTAATTGTATTAAGCCGTAGAACTCAGAACAAAGCATCCTGAATGTATACATATGTGCCTGCATAGAAGTCAGAAATCAGTATGTAAGTCTGAAGGATGGTTTAATAAAGTTGATATTCCCTAAAAAAGATCTCTGAGACTGTCATGGGATGTTTGAACAGTTAATAAAGGTGAGAGCCTTACCAGAATTCACAAGGGCAGCAAAACTGATGTATTGCCAAGTTCAGAGCATCTTTAGAGCTGACTGATGAGCTGTAGGTCCAAAGTCTTTTATGGGACACAGGGAGGGGAGAATTCAGGCTCAGTGCTACCCAGCTGCTAGGTGCAGGGATGGATCTCTCCTTTCAGCTCTCAGGAGAGTACAGTTTGACAAGATGCTGCAGCTCTGTGGCATAGCCTGTGATGGGGCAGTGCTGATGAGCCTTCACGTACCCGTATGCACAGCGGTAGCAGAAGACAAAGCCAGATGTGGACAGGGCTGTGGCGTTCACACGAGTTTTGTGGCACAGGGGACACACAGTCTTCAGTTTGGGTAGGAGAGTGGAGCTGGGATCGAGGTGCACAGGGGGCGGAGGAGTTGGGAGTGCAGTCAGAGATTTGATGGTCTCCTGGTTTTCTGAGGAGTACCACCAGTCCAGGAACTGGAGGAAGAACACGCTGATAGACAGCCCGGTGGACAGGGAGAAGGCGATGGTGCCCAGGGCTTTCCTCACTGCTGACTGCACCTGGGTTTTAATGCTGTAGCAGAGAGAAGGTATTAAGTATATTAATACATTATTATTATATATAAATGCATTATTATCATAAATCATATATAAATGTATTAAGGTATTATATAAGGAAAAACTTACTACTACATATATAAACCACAGCAGAAGGGATTGCTTTACACAGCTTCTTAACACTAAGTTGGTCAATGTATCCCATGTTTATAGTAAGGCATCTGCTAGGATGTTTCTCTTAGTATTTTAAGAAAGCTTCAAGTCCTGTTTTATCCAGAAATCTAAACTGGAGGAGTTTGGATTGAGCGCGCCTGGATCACAGAGCTTTTCACCCATGGATCATCATTTTACAGGACATTAAGTGTGGTCATGGCTAGCTGCTGCTCAGAGGAATCAAAGAGCTAAGTTTTAGTACTTTTAGCAATATAGTTGCAGTCTGGTTCGTTCCCTCGTTAGAAAAGTGCAGATGAAGACTGAACAGGATAAAGGCTGAAGTGCCAAAAAAGACCCTCATTTTATGACCACAAAATCTTGTGAAGCTGATCCCTGCTACTTGATTCCTCATTCACACTGACAATGCACCCTTTTGGAGCACATTTTGCCAGAGGTAAACTTCATCTCAATGAATTTACACAGTATCACAGTATCACAGTATGTTAGAGATTGGAAGGGACCTCAAAAGATCATCTAGTCCAATCCCCTGCCGGAGCAGGAACACCTAGATAAGGTTACACAGGAACGTGTCCAGGCGGGTTTTGAATGTCTCCAAGAAGGAGATTCCACAACCTCCCTGGGCAGCCTGTTCCATGTTCCGTCACCCTCACTGAGGAGAAGTTTCTTCTCAGGTTTAAGTGGAACCTCTTGTGCTCCAATTTGTACCCATTCCCCTTGTCTTTCATTGTTTGCCACTGAGAAGAGCCTGGCTCCATCCTCGTGACACTCCCCTTTATATATTTATATACACTAATAAGGTCACCCCTCAATCTCCTCTTCTCCAAACTATAGAGACCCAGCTCCCTCAGTCTTTCCTCATAAGGGAGATGCTCCACTCCCTTAATCATCTTAGTTGCCCTGGAAAAGTTTTCAGTTTCCTGGAAAAGTTTTCAGTTGCAGCATCAACTCTAAATTAAGACACCCACAGACCCCCCTTTGAGAGCAGCTAAGTCATGTTCTGACATACCTGGGTGCAGGATGTGAGGTGGTTCCCCCCAGTTTCTTCTCCAGGGCCAGGATATCCTCCGCAGTCAGTCTGACCAGGCGAACGCCAGCCAGGCGCAGCATGGGTGAATGATGCTGAGCCTTCCCCAGAATATAGCACAGTTGCTGGATGAGAAACCAGCCCTCCCAGGTCATGTTTACAAAGGGGTAGGCAGCCAGAAAGGCTCTGTAGAAGCGCTTCCATGATGATGAGGGAGGGTGGATGGAGTACTCATCCTCTTCCCTCAGGGTGGACACCAGTTTCTCCAGCTTTCCTTTCAGATAAGGAACAAGAACCAGCAAGAGAAGAGACTTCCAGTGCTGCCTCTTTGGCAGGCCAGCAGTGGCCAACGGTTGCTGTCTGCAGTATCCTATGGGGATCCTCTTTAAGCTGTAGAAGTTTTCAGAAAAGGAAGCACTACACCTAGCTAGGTAGTGCTGCTGGAGCAGCATGTCCAGAAGGACATAGATCTCATCAAACCAGTGCCAGAGGAAGCCGTATCGACCGGGATTGGACTCAGCAAGCACCTGTTGAAAGGGATACAAAACAGGAGGGCATAAAACAGAGTGGTGTTCTGAATAACAGGAACTAGCACAGAATAGTCTGGGTAGGAAGGGACCCTCACAGGTCATGGCCATGGCTCATAACACCATCTGGGCGGGTCAAAACTGTTGTAGTCGTTCATGTGTGGTAAATGCAAGTGATGAAGGGCTCAGCAACGCTGTGCAGTGTCCCCAGGGCCCCTCTGCAGCAGCTTCCCCACACAGCAGCCACCCTCAGGCACCGCTCACCTCAGCGCCCCGCTCCCTCAGGCCTGCGGTGATGAGGGACCGCCGGCCTTCGCTTCCCCCCCTCACCCCAGGCCTCGCACGTACCTTCACCAGGTGCTGCAGGGCGGGTTTCACGGCGGCCATCAGGCTGTCCTGGGCCACCGCCTCGAAGATGGAGGGCCGGTCATCACTGGCCGAAGCGGCCGTGAGGTGAGCGCCGACCTCCGCCATGACACCGACTGCACTGCGCTCCGCCCCGCCGCCAGGGGGAGCTCCCGCCTAAGACGCCGCGGAGCACCTCCTCCCGGAAGCGCAGCGCGGCCGGCGCTCTGTCGCCTCCCGCGCTACTCTATGGTGGCAGGGCGCGGCCGCTCTAGGCGGAGGAGGGTTTATTCTCGCTCCTCGCGAGTCCTCCCGGCCCCTCCGCTCCGCTTCCGGTTCCGCCGTCGCCCCCACAGCGGTGTGTCCGTCCCGCCGCCGTGAGTGGGGCGGCATTGGGAGCGGTGGGGGGGTACTGGTGAGGTACTGGGGGCGCGCTGGAGGGAGGTCTGGGAGGCGGTGGGGGCACTGGTGAGGCCTTGGTGGGGTGACTGGGATAGGATGGGAGGGGCACTGGGAGGACTGGGCAGGAGGGTGCTGGCCATAAGGACACGGGGGGTGGGGGGGGTGCTGGGAGGTGGGCTGGGAATGAGGTAAGTGAGGTACTGGGATACAGGAGGGACTGAGCAGGCACCGTGCGGGAGGCTGGGATCGGTGGGGGATGCTCCTGCAACCTGGGAGAGGTTTGGGGGATTCTGGTGAGGGGGAAGGCTGGTGGGCGGGGTGTCGAGGGATACGGGGGGTGTCCAAGGAGGGAGAAGGTGATAGGAAGCACAAGGCACTGGAGAATGGGGTGGGGATGGGAACAGTCACCTGCTCCTAGCACATGCTGTTAAGGCTGTGGGTTCAGAAGCTGAGGTGCTATTTTCCGCTTGACATCCATGTTTCATTCAGTCTCCTGATGCTCTGGGGGCCCTGAGCCATGCTTGGGCTATGGTGTGGCTACTCAGTCAAAATGGGTGCAGATAAGAAGGCGTGGCACCAGCTGGAGTGTTAACCAGGGATCACTTTAGAGATTTAGGGGTGCAACACTGAGTCATTTCAGTGCTGGGGAGTTTGGATCAATACTGAGGCCTTAAAGCTGTTGCCTTCCTCTTTACAGTGATGTGAAATCAGTGGTGGGAGCTGCTCAGGCTGTTGGAGTCATGCCTAGGGCAAAGCAGGTGTTGGTCAGACACAGGGTCCATTTTGCTGTGTGGTTTTGGGCTGAGGAAGCTTTATCTTTCAGGCTATGATGGTTCCTTATTCTTTTAATTTAATCATATTTTTGGTTCAGTCTCTGTTTAAATGTCAAGGCAATGCTTATAGCATTAAACATTGCCAGAGCTTCTGGAGAAATTCCTCTTCCTGTTTGCAGGGGTTGGAACAGGAGCCTTTTGCTGTCAGCTAAAACACCTCTTACCTGTTCCCACCTTGGACACAGAGCAATAGTGAGGGCCCAATCGGATGTGGATTTTCTCCTAAAAATACAAGGACGATCATGATGTTGTCAGAATTTATCTTGGCTCTCTTCAGTTTAGATTTGTGTGCAAGGGACTGGCATTTTCCTGAGTTACTTAAAACATTGCTGTTGTATATCTGGGCTGGTTTGGCCTTCATCTGGGACTTGCTGTAAACCAAGCTGGGTTTGCTTAGTGGATGAGATTATACCCATTGCTGTCACTGAACAATGTGCAAAGCAAGCTCTGACATTGTGAAGCAGCAATCTGAGTGCTCATGAGAAGAGCTCTCTCCAGTGTTGCACTTGGAATATGGTAGTTTGCTTATTGACCTGTCAGATGTCATTTACAGCAATCAAAACAGGGTGTAAAGACATGCACTGTGCTTAGCCTTGGCTGAGTGTGCCTAGGGTTCTTCATCTGAAGTTAGGAGAACAGCAGAATGTCCTGGTTTTGAGTTTAAAGATCATCTCTGAAATTCAGGAAGGTTTCTTCCTCCTCTGTGTAGCTTCATGCAACTGGGATGGATGATGTGTATGATGGTTTGTTGGGGTTTTCGCTCCTCAGTTTTCTCTCTTATCTGCTGCTCTGGCCACTGTTAAAACCAGTATCAGGGTAGCTCAGCTGAGAGGTGTGACCTGGGTTGATAAATCCACATACAGTGCAAACAAAGAACAGCAAGGTTATGTTCAATGACTTTTGCATAGCACTATACCAAACACTCTTGTAGAGGAAAGTATTTTAGGTCATCTTTTAAGCTGGGCTCAAGTCTGAAAGACTGCGTCAACAGTAGCATTGCAGCTGAGCATGGGGTCTGGTCTTAATCATAAACCAAGACCCACAACAGCTTCAGCTTTCAGGATGTTGTGATACTTTAGCTGGAAAGATTGCAGTGCTATAGTTTCTGTGGCTTTCAAAACCCAGCCTCTGTTTTGGAAGAAGGGCAAACCTCTCCTGCAGGAGGAATGTGCTTCCAGACCTGTCCCCAGGCACAGTTTTGCTCTCCAGCTTGGCAGGAGCAGAAAGATGAAAATCAAACCCAGTCATGCTGCCTCATTGGGATGAGATGGTAACCACACAGGCACAGGGCAGGCTGGAGCTCTGGGGAGCTGGGTGAAGCAACAGGTTGCTTCTCATCTGCCTGCTTGGCAGTGGGGCAAGATGACGACAGCTCTGCATGGCTATAGAGCACATTGAAGGTGGTAGAAATCGTGGCATTCCCCCTCAGTTGCTGCTGCTGGGAATTGAACAGCTGAGGAAATGAACTGGTCAAGGGGGATAAGGGTGGAAAAGAATGGCAGTGGTGTTGGGGTTGGTTAAAGGATGAGGAAGGAAAGTGTTAAGCAGCAAGCTGGTTGTGCTGCTGGTGGGCAGTGTCTTGGAGTTCAAAGCTGTGCTCGTCCTTCTGTGCTGAGCCAGCAAGAGCTGCAAGGTTTAGAGGCAGGACAGGCAGTGTTTAGGGAACAGATGACTTGCTGCTTTGCTGATAACATTTAAGGTCATGGGAGTATGTACAAGAGAAGAGGAACTGGAAAAGAATAAAAAGGAGGGAAGAAGTGGGAAAACCCTTTCCTTTGGGTAGTTTTAGAATCATAGATTCTTAGTACTGATGCACTGTTCCACCAAAAGCACTAAAACTGCCCGCTCCTTTGCTTGTTTTTCAGTTCGGCTGAAAATTGTTTGAGTCATGTTTGCCATGGAGCTGTCAGTTGTAAGGATAAAATGATGGCTATCCACGTACATTTGGGCAATCCCTGTATTCTAAAGTATTAATAATTCAGTTCTCTGAGACAAGGAAAGTACTGGTGGGACCATTCTCGTGGCTCTTAACCACTTGCTGGCCCAGCACCATTTGTCAGTCCTGTCCACAAACCTGAAGTGCAGCACTGAAATAATCAGCTTGTGTGTGTGTCAGAGTGGGATGTCAGCTCTTGGCAGAGAAAGATTTCAATTTCGGGCTTCGGAGAACAGAAAAGTAATGGCTTTTCATTGCAAACAACCACTTTGCATCTCTCGGGAACAAAAGGAGGGAAAGAAATGAAAGGGCCTCGGGGTGGGTGTTGCAAGTAGGGTTGATTGTTCCTTCCATCAAGATGCAACACAGGGAAGTATCGTTAGGGGGAGTTGACAGTTTCCTTTGTCTGCATCATGGACTTCTCACTTCCAGTCGAGATATTAAATGTGCAGTGGTTTTTACGGCAAACGAAATGGTGAACCCGTGGGAAAGGCAGCTGCAGAACATGTCAGGATTTGCTGATTATAAGGAGTTAAAAGCCCCTTTTCCCCTTCTGAGACTTGAGAGTTTGAAAACCTGGGCTGAGCATCCCTGCTTTCCCAGCCTGCCCACCTGAGGCTGTGGTGTTTTCACTGACATTGCTCATCTGAGCCCTTTAAATCCCTAGGTTTCCCAAGTAATAGCAGCTGCAGGTGCAGAATGAAGATTGTGAGACTTGTGCCTGTGGATATAAAGCATTTGCTGCTTCCCCTTATGTTACACACTCACCAGCCATCCTTCCTCTGAGTTCCTGCCTTCCAAACTGGCTGTTGTCAGCTCCCAGGGCTGTCTGACTGCTTCTTCCTGTGTTTATTCTTATTCAGGTGTTGTGAGGAACTGGAACCATGACGGACTCCAAATACTTCACGACCAATAAGAAAGGTTAGTGTTAAGCTGTTGTGGTGGATTGGAGGTGGTGGGTGGCTATTTTTACCCAGCTTTTTTAACTGCGTGCGGAAGAACTTGTGCTGTTCTGTTAGCTCTGTCCCTGTTTCTCATCTTAATCATCTAGGGAGGAACTTTGCAAGTAGGTCACATGGTGGCAGAAGACAAAACTGATGTACATACGGTTTTGTGATGCGCAAAATGACCCCAATTGCTGCTTTATCAAGGATCGGAGAGCAAAACATTGGGATTTGAGTGCAGATCTGGTTAAAGTTTTAGTTATGGGCTTACATGTTCAAGGCTGAGGGTGGTTTCTCTGTTGGGCATCACAGGATTAAGTTGATGACATTTAGTATATAAGGTATAAGTGTGTATCTCTGCATTGAGCTGTTGCAGATAAGGGGATTTCCTGTGACTGTTTCCTCCAAAGCTGCAGTGCTCTGACTTCTCCTTGGCTTTACTATAGGCATGGTGGTCTCCTCACTTCAGGACAATTGCCCTTAAGGAAGGGTAGCCTGTAAAGGATCTTTGAGGATGGTTTTACCCATCCACCTGTTCCAGAGCAGGGCTTGTTCTGCTGAATCTGTCCCAGGCAGACTTTTTCTTATAACCTGTTTCCAAACAGAACAATGTTGCTAACTGCAGTTTAAACCTGATGTAAACCATATGAAGACAGACCGAGAAAGTTGGGGCTGTTCAGCCTGGAGAAGAGAAGGCTGCGTGGAGACCTCATAGCAGCCTTCCAGTATCTGAAGGGGGCCTATAGGGGTGCTGGGGAGGGGATATTCATTAGGGACTGTAGTGATAGGACAAGGGGTAATGGGTTAAAACTTAAACAGGGGAAGTTTAGATTGGATATAAGGAAGAAGTTCTTTCCTGTAAGGGTGCTGAGGCACTGCAATGGGATGCCCAGGGAGGTTGTGAATGCTCCATTCCTGGCAGTGTTCAAGGCCAGGTTGGACAGAGCCCTGAGTGCCCTGGTTTAGTGTGAGGTGTCCCTGCCTATGGCAGGGGGGTTGGAACTGGATGATCTTAAGGTCCTTTCCAACCCTA